TCTGATGATGATGATGATGTGTTGTTTTAGTACTATCCACGAGTTAGGGTTCGAATAAAATACCAACTTAGGTATGATCTTATTAAGGTGTATGCTACTCTCTCTCTCTCTCTCTCTCGCTCTCTCTCTCTCTCTCAGTGTGTGTGTGTATGGGATTGTCTACAAAGAGACCATTTATCTTTTGTACAAGGAAGTCACAATCATTCCCACTCATTAGGTGAGTCAAAAAGTTTGAAAAATTTTTTTTGGAACTTTGTCTATTGAATGACACTCTTACAACCACCTTTTTTGAAATTTAAGGGATAAGAATAATTGTGACTTCTATGTACAGAAGATAACCGGTCTCTAGTGATATATATATGTATATATATATATAGGCTATAGTACAGCAAAGCCTATTAACTAAAACACATAACTACAGGGATTTATTTTGTGCTGAAACACATCTTTGATTTGAAGAATAAACAATTTTAAAAGAAAACGAAAATGCATTCTTAAATGCCAAGATCCATCGTCTACCAAATGGACAGCCTGTGTTCATTGGAAATGGCAAACTGTTTTTCTCCCTTTTCCGTGTGATTTTGATTCCCTTTTTTGAGATCTCCATGAGTGCAAAATTTGGGGTCCAATAAACCCTATATCTCCAAAAAGCTTTCAAATGAAAGGCATGCATAAAGGTACCATAATTCCTGCAACTTTGTAATTTTTTAAAGCACATAAGAGGCATTTCATGAGCCAATATTTACCCTGGGTAAATGAAATTAAGACAAAAAAATTAGCGCATGCATGCAGATATGTAGTACTCTACAATCAAACAAGAAGTCATTCCCAGATCATGATCCACTCATTCACTGGATGTTGTCCAAATTACCTGTAAAACTCAATTTGTTGGGATCTGGAATTGAACCTGAGTTTTGACATTAACAATTCCAGTGTTTCAAGGATGTTTTTGGGTATACCACCACCTCGTGATTGCTCCCCCTTTCATCTTAGTGAATTTGCACTCATGTCATGCTAAATCATTACTCACAAACAAGCAAAGAAAAAGAAGCAAACAAACAAGAGAAAAAGAAGCAAACAAACAAGTGACTGTGATTAATTCACACAAGAAAATTATTTGTATGTGCCTTGTCCATGCAAGCACAACACTCACTAGAAACACAAAACAAAAGAAATAGCCAACAAGATTCTTACTCATGCTCCAGAGCTTGAGCAGCAGTTACACGTTTCCGAGGATCATACCTGCAAAGGGCAGCATTTTGCATTTTAAAAGTAAATTACCAGAAAAAGTACCATAGGATTCTCAAGAATTCATCTGCTATATATCAAAACTCTACGCAAACGACAGACTACAGGTTAACTTTGACTGCACCACAAATTAACTTTCATTGCACTACAGGCTTCGCCCAAGAAGACAATTGAAATTGCAACCCTAGCTTGACAATGAGAGAGTTTGTGCACATGTACACAGATGCATTTTGAAACCTCAGAACAGCTCAAAGAATTTAAAGCTTAAAGCTTATACCAGTAGGCACTAACTAAATTACTTGTTGTGCACCAATGAACAGCATGAGTGTATTTGCTAACACATTTCCAGTTTAATTTTTTCTCGTCTTGGTGATATTCCAGATGCTTTCAAGAGATTGGATAAGGTAAAATTTATTTTTTTAAAAAAAAGTGAACTTCACTAGCTAGCTTTTCTTATCAGTAGCTCATTTGTTGATTTATCACCCCAAAAAAGCTTGTTTATTCAAGAAGACCAGAGCACACAGTACCGAGGCCAGAAAAGAATTTTTAGCATGTGGTGACTCTCTAGACATGAAACTGATTTTGTGCTATCTAGCTGATTAATGGTGACCTCATCTCATCCTCAACTAATATATTCCCTGAAAAGAGCCCCAGGAAAGATGTTAAGCCTTATCATAGCATCTGTTCAAGCTCAAAATACCTTTATTCAGTGTTTCCTATTATATTGATTCAGTGTTTACTGTTATAATAGTAAACGCAAGAATCTTTTGCCTTGGTTAATTGACTTCTCAGGTTATTGTCATTATCTTCAATATCCCTATTGAAAATTATTCAACCTTTTCTATTGTAATATCCAGATTATGTCAACAAACAAGAAACCCCCTCATATCAATGTACTAGAAAATTAACTACTCTCGAGATACTCCCACCTTGCTAGGACGACAAATAGAAAACCCAGGAAAATTCATGTAATCTGGTGCAAAGTCCTTTTACATTAATATCTTACCACACCAGGTGTAAAATTCATTTGCTGAAATTTTCCTTTTTTTTCTTCTTTTTTTTTTCCCCCACTGATTGTTGAAAATCTTCTTTTCTTTTCTATTCATATTTTAACAAAACAATCATATATTTAAGCAGCCATGCACACATGAAGAAAGAACAAGGCCTACACTGAAATTAAATGGCATATCATACTCGAGCATTTTGGAGAGAAGATCATATGCAGGAGTTTTCTGAGGAAGATGAACAACACTGTGGAGTCCAGGGTTGTCACTGTCAAAAATGTGCAGCAAAGCGAACTCTAAATCACCGTACAAACTGATAACTCAAGCACTATCTCCAAAATTAATATCAATTAAACTGAAAAAGAAAAGAACAACACTTATTATTTAGAAAGGCGACACTTACTATTTACGGCTTTGGATATGTTGTTGATCATTTTGCCAACATGGGAGATTCACAAGAGTAGGCCATTTTTCTTGGGTGGGATGGCCTGTTAGAAATAGCAAATAATGCAGTTATCTGAAAAATGATGGGCCTGGTTTCCAAAAATCAGGGTATGAAATGTTACAGTTACCTAAAACTTTAAATATCTTCTCCAATTGATCAAGCTGCAAGAATACAAACAAACGGAAATGACTTCACTCAGCTTGTGCAAAAATATTTAAGATACCATGGCAATGACAAAAAATAACAGCAGATGAGACCAAACAGATTACTTGCAGAAGTGTATCATAGTTACCTGGAAAGGGTTCGGTGTAGCTTTGACCTCCACTCCTTGGAATAGTGGCTTTAAAGTGAGCAGTTCGGCAAATATGCATCCAACAGCCCACATATCTATGGCAATTAAGGATAAAATAATATCCTACACACCTTTTTTTGAGGGGATATACGCAGAATACAAACTTGAGACCAAATGAGTATATCAAAATCTCATGTCATATTATGAAAACTGGAAGTTAAGGGCGATTGTTGGTAGTAGAAGTTTGAAATATAAAATGAAACAGGATACCGACAGCACTAGTGTAGTGCTTGGCCCCAAGAAGAAGCTCAGGTGCACGGTACCATATGGTGACCACAACCTGCCAGTGCCCCACATCAATTAGAAGTGCAGCAACAATCAGAAAGAACTCACTGGAAGTGAACGCTATGCTCCAACTGTCATGCACAAATAGATAATATGCCTTGGTTTTAACCAATAACATGATAACTCCAATATCAAATGCAGATACCCATTCTATTACCATGATGGAACTTCAACATCAAATGCAGGAACACAAAGAAAGTTTCCTAAAACATTTAAAGAAAAATATATAGGCATTCCATCTGACAAAGACAATGAACTACTTTTAATTGTTTAAACGAAAACCAATGACACAACTGATTTACGGGACCACCACATATTAAAAGTATCAATAAGGCCCAACAACAACAATGGAAAATTAGTTCACATATGAGATGAAAGCAACTATTCAGCAGTAGCTTGCATTTTTAAATGGGTACTAAACAGTTCTATGTTTTACTTGAATGCAAATAAGCCTCTAGATATAGAATAAATAAGAGACACCACAAGTAAAGAGTAAATAAACAATTATAATCACACGGACCATGGAATAATCATTATTATAATCACATGGACCATGGAATAATCATTCTTACCACAGCCATCCAAACATAATAATTCAACCCATCCATGACATATAAGCAAACACAAAAAGCCACATGCATAACGATGATACACATTCACCAATACCAGTACAGAGATATATATACATTTACTGTCATTAACAGAACAAATCATATGGCACTGATGTGATCGAATATAAACAAATTCTCCAGTGATCTAGTAGTCTCACTAGGTGGTAAGGTCCTGTTTGTATTATGCCAAACAAATATCAGCAAGTTACACATGTCGAGTAAACACAACAACAAGATTTATAAAGACAAAACAATGACCCAACAAGACAGTGAGGTGGATCCTTATTTGAAATAAAGGGGTGGCATGGATGGACAACACAGTTTTGCAAAGATAAGAACATGCATAGGTCTGCAAAACTCAGATCATTCAAGCACACGTAATTTCACTTAGACTACACAAATATTTTTCAATCCACCAAAAAAACATATTATAAAAAACAGACATGCATAGAATAGAATGAGGTTTTGGAAATCAAATGAGAACTTAATCCTGTTATTTTTAGTAGAACAACAACCTTTTCTTCAATTGTAAAATAGAGTAACACATTTAATCAGAAAAAAAACAAAATAAAGAGAAAATTTTCCCCACCCCATTGTCAGATAAGGGTTTCAAAGGTGCCTGGTAAATTCTGGCAAGCCCAAAATCAGCAATTTTTACAACCCCCTGCTCGTCCCCCTCACCCATAACCTGATTCCACAAGAAATCAAGATTAAATTCATAATATACATAGAAAAGTTTGCAAACCTGACAATAATTTTTTAGTGTATGAGCAAGCATGCCAATGAAAAAAGAACACAAAATTCATTAAAGAATCTAATTCTTCCAGATCAAAATGTCAAAGGCATACCAGAATATTAGATGGTTTAAGATCTCGATGAATTATCCAGTTACTGCACCAAATGGTAAAAAATGATAGAAGTCATGTAACATTTTAACTGCTAAGTTCCAGACTTAAAGTACATTGTTGAATAAAAGTCGTCATAGTTAAAGTCCAAAGGAAAAATTGTAAAAACTCTTTTTCCTTAAAAAAAAATAGATCATAAAATGCTTGAGTCTCCACCAAGAACATGGGGTAATAAAACCCTACCTGTGGAGGTAGTTCAGCCCATTGAGCAATTGCCACAGCAAAGACTTGACAGTATATTCTTTGATGGGCTGAGAAACCTTTTCCCGGTGATGCTTGATGATCTCCTGGTGTAATCAACAAGCATTACAACAAAAAACATATTTGCACCCCAGTTAAATCATCATCATTTGACATGTTAAGTGTTGTTTGTCACTGTCAACAGGAATAAATACATCCATGATCGAAAAAAATGTTAACCCAGACATGATAACATGACTTGTGCATACATGGCATAAGCCTAAAGATCAGAAAGCTGGTACAAATTGACAAGGGAAAGAAAAAAATAAAAGAAAAAGAGAGATAGGACAGTGAATTAATTTATAAAAGATTATTTGCAATTCAATTCAGTGAGAGCATAAAAATAAATAAATAAATAAACAACACCTGGAGTCCAGGACCCAAAACAACTTGAGTTATGTGCTTCTAGTTCAGTTACAGCTCCTGAATTGGCTGCCCGTTGAACTTTTCTAAAAAAAATTTCATTCATTCAGTGTTTCTATCACAAGTTCTTAAACAATAATTAACTATTAAGGACAGATAACTCCAAAAATTAAAATTATTTCATTCACGAATAAGTTGAAAATTGGATTCCTTTCTTTTCATGAAGGTGGCATACACTTATGTGTCGCATATACATTAACTTGCACCATATAGGAGAAAAGAAAGGAACACATGCAAAAAAAAGTGACACCAAAACCAATGTCAATCGAGAAAAGGCAACCTAGAAAATCTAACCTTTGAATAGTGAACAACTATTGCCAGTCTGTAAAGTATTAGGAGTAGACAATAGGCTCGCATTGGTCTATTTTATTCCCTAAAGAGGCAATATAAAAGAACATCAAAATATAATAGGCTAAAGCATGAAGATGTACACATTAGATAACAAAACCTACATAACAATTATCCAATGCCTGGGCAAGACTACAATAGCTGGCAACATTTGTCAAGGAGACAGTTACATACCAAAATACAATCAGGAAAGGAGAAGCAACATGACAAGAAAACTAGCTTTATGTATCTAACACTCTCTCCAGCTCAACCATGTCAATAGAGATCAAGAAAGGAAAGTTTTCCCATAAGGGAGAGATAGAGCACCAATGCATCATTAGAGTAAACAACTAACAAGTCCATCATCATTGTCGTCGTCAGAGATTTTTCCCAACAAAGTGGGGAGGGCAATATAAATCATGGTTTGTCATTCTACTCTATTAAGGGTCATACCCTCAGTGAAGCCATAAGTCCCCATATTTTTTCTCACTACTTGCAACCATGTCCTTTTGGGCCTACCCCTTGCTCTTTTTGAGCCTTCCACTTGAACTAACTCGCACCTCCTAATAGATATTGTATTGGGTCTGCGCCACATATGACCAGCCCACCTAAGTCTACTTTCTTTCATCTTATCACCTATTGGTGCCACACCTAAATTCTCCAAAATATATTTATTTCGAGTTTTATCCAATCTTATCTTGCCACTCATCCATCTCAACATCCTCATCTCAGCTATACTTATTATAGGTATGTCATTTCTTGACCACCCAACATTCTGCCCTATAAAGCAAAGTTGATCTCATAGCTGTCATATAAAACTTTCCCTTCAACTTCATTGGTATGCAGCAATCCCATAAAACTCTGTTTGTACATCTCCATTTCGCCAACCCAACCCTAATTCTATGTGCGACATCTTCCTCAATTTCTCCAAGATATCGAAGGTGCATTTATTTTGGTATTTCTTAGCCATCAATCTTAACAACTTGTCTCTACTCCTATTATTACTAAACTTGCATTCTATATACTTTGTCTTAGTCCGACTAATTTTAAAACTTTTAGATTTTAGAGCATTCCTCCAAAATTCTAACTTTGTTTCAGTTCTCATCGATCAAAACTGTGTCGTCCAGGAACAACATGCACCACGGTACCTCATCTTGTAGGTGCCTAGTTAAGTCGTCCATAGCTAAGACAAAGAGGTATGGGCTCAATGCTGCCCCTAACGTAAACCTATTGTCACTGAAATCTCACTCGTCTCTCTACTAGTTGTTTGTACACTAGTTAGCGCTCTCTCTGACATATCTCTCACCAAGTCGATGTATTGTCTAGAGACTCATTTCTTTTCCAACATCAACAAAATCAAATCTCGAGATCCTCTATCATAAGCTTTTTTTAGATCAATAAAGATCATGTGGAGGTCCTTACTCTTCGCCCCAAACTTTTCAATCAATTGCCTAAGTAGGAAAATAACCTCAATTGTTGACCTCCCTGGAATAAATCTGAATTGCTTTTCTGATACACTTGTTTCATGTCTTAATCGTTGCTCGATCACACTCTCCCACAGCTTCATAATGTGGCTAAATTTGACCCCTCGATAGTTCGCAACTCAACAAGTCTACGATAAAGCCAATTCGCAATAGATAGGAAGAAAACAAAATCTATAAGCTAAATATTATAGACTACAAGTTATGTTCTATAACTCTAGACAGCCCAAAGCACCAAACACCATATAAGACAATTAATTTGGATCAAAAGAGGTGTTAGTTGTGGTGTCTAAGCTATTTTTTCCGTTTTATAAATGTCCTAACTCAACCATGCACTTTGTGCAATGCAACGATCCCTTTTTGCCCAGTTGTAAAGTCCACTAATTGTGTTTAAACAATTGAGAAGCAAATCCTCACAAAAAGAAAAAAAACATTTTCTAATATAGAAATCATTTTGGAAATGAAAATCGCCATAATTGAAACTTCAGAAAAAAGAAATTGATCATATGAAGATACTTGCATTTTTTATGCTTCGAAATTCTAAAACAATTAGCTGATTAAATTTCATGATCAAAGTATTAACATGTTATGGTTTGACAAATCAATCAAACCTCCTCCATATGGTCCCTCTGTACCATAAACCTCGTGAAAAGTTTAATAGTCACTCCCTCCCCTCCCCCCCCCTCTCCTCCTCGTCCTCCCCTTCTTCTTCTCCCTCGATCCCCTATCTCTCTCACACAAACACACACACACCCAAGAACTGTGACTTTGGATTGAAACTCCCTCCCTCCTTCCCTACCTCCCTCACACACACATGCAAGAACTGTGACTACAGATTGAAACGAAAGCATGGAATTGAGTCCATCTCACAATATTTAATCACTACCTCATAAACCCCAAGCACTCAAACAAAGAGATATACTATACTAGGAACAAAGAGTCGGTATCACATCTTCTCAGATTATAGCTCCTATTACCCATGCCTCTAACCATCCACTCCATAAGGCTAATGGACTCCATGAAAACCCTAGTCTGAAAAAAATACTAACGATGCATGTGCACCTATTTCCAATCTCAAATCTCTATTGGATAGGGAGTTATTGTTACATAGAATAAAACTTATCCTCATTATCAAGAAAAAAATGGGAAAAGAAGATGAAAACCTGCCCTAAAATGTGTCAAGAAAAAAAAAAAAAGCTAATTTGAAAGGCCAATCAACTTCAAAGAGACTGGCACACTCAAGGACAACAGGATTGGATGCAATCTGAAGTTGAATAAGTCAGTTGAACACCAAGATCATAGACAAGGGAAGACAATGAAGAGGTTAAACAAAGCCTAATATTTGGTAGCCACAGTTGTTAGCCCAGCTCACTCGATCAGATAATTAAATGGACGAAGCACTCTCACCATCATTAAGATCTAAGGCATTTATTAAGTTTGCACAAAGGATGAATTACTTAGTTATTCAAAGGAGTTCTTAATTATTTTCAAATAAAGAAAGAAATTCAAAAAGCATAAAGAAAAAACTTTTACGTAAATATCTACTTCATCATTTTGTCTCTGGAGGTTAGTCAATATTAGTTTTTTATGAACCAAGCAACATCAAACAAAACATGAAATCAGTATCACAAGGGTGACAGCTATATAGAAAACCATTCCAAACATTTATTTTTCAATGTCCAAATCTCATAGGAAGGCTCTCTGTACAAAATGATAGAAAACCAGACCTTGAGACAGAAGAGAAGTTCAATGATGCATGCCAATGGATTTTATCCACCACTCACACAAACATTAAGCATTTATCACTAAGAACCAAAAGTGGACAAACTATCAAGATACCAGACTACCACACATTGTCCATGATCAATCAACCGCATGCATATTTTCCAAGCACATGTGTCCATTGACTAATAAACGAAGGAGACGTTTTAAAAGAAAAAAAAAAAATGAGATAATACTTACATAGATGTCATGCTCAGCATAGTCAAATGCTAGATATAGTGACATGTCAGAATGATTTATGTGTACATTCACAAGCTTCACAACATTTTCATGAGATATTTCTCGGAGTAGCTGCAACAAAAGTCAAAGAGACTATCAGCAAAATGCATAACTATTCAAACAGGAGGAAAGTAAGAAACAATGTAATATTGTGCCGTACTTCAATTTAAGAAATTTACACAGACATGGCTGTTAAACCAACATCGAATGTTTAGAGGAAACATCAATGCCATTGTTTCTGCCCAAATTATCTGGGTTTATCTCACTTATAAGAACCGTATGACAGTGGAGAAGCCCCATGAAATATCGAAAACATCAGGGTATCATATGCATCTGTTAAAATCCCCCTCAAGAAACATGAAATTAATGGATGATATAGCACTAAAAGATAAAGGGACAAGGTGTCTCCCCATTCACGATGACTAGTTGAGGAATAAAACTTGATTGTGGACGAAGATTATGTGTGCAGCTAAAAAAGGCATGTTTCAAAACTTTATGCTCTGATCCCTAAAATGAAAGGACATAAATGCCCATTCCTTGCCGATTGTGTCTTCTAGTGCCCACAACCTTAGAAAGGGTACCTAAGTATAACGAGTCATAGTTGAGTATAGTTTAAGCACTCAAGATAAGGGACATAAATAACAGTTCCTCGCCAATTGTTTCTTGTAGTGCTCATGATCTTAATAAGGGTACTTAACGAATTGTCTTTGTGTAAGTTTTCATCACTCAAGAAAAGGACATAAATGCCTATTCAGGCCAATTGTGTCTTATAATGATTATAACCATAACAAGGGCACTTAAGTATTAAGAAGTCCTGTAAATAGGTTTGAATTTAGTTCATCACTACATGAAATCTCCCTACAGAACCAAGATGCATAACCAATGAACTCCAGAAGGATCTGTTTCTGAGATATTCAAATCATTTTCACTATCATTCTTTAATATTACATGGATATGCCACATGCCTTACTACTGTTTGCAGCTTTGTAACAGAAAATTTGTGCTTTACACAAAACAAACAATTGTATCCGTCATACATACATACTTATTTACTTGATGTGTGTATGCATTAGCATGCATCTCTTAAAGCACCACCCTTATATAACATTATGCATCACATTGTATCTTTAATTCAGCAATATCCCAAAATTTCACATATTTCCTGGTTTCTGTTTACAAGTATCCTTAATATAACCTCCTTGTTACAGGACATATCACTTGGTGGTAAACACTTGTACACCTCACTTCACTCTTTAAAACCAGGTCGAAACCCAAATAAATCTCCTGAAGTAGCTCAGAGATCATTTATAGCTCTGGCCAATCCATTTGGACCCTGGCTTGATTGGTTCTACTATAAACGATTGCGACACTACATTCCGAGTTTGAACCCTCCTCTGACCTACCAAAAGAAGCACATAACAGATCCCAAAATTCAGGAAAACTTGTATTTTCTCATAAGGAGATCCAAAATGTTCAGCAAACCCCATCAACAAAAGTGGACTCAGAGTCAACACATGACAGAATCATAACCCATAAAAGACCCTTAAGCCATCAGTTAGATGATAGGTTCTCCACAAGAGCAGCTCTCCCTCTCAAACACATGATGATTCATTAGGAAATTTGGCATATACATACTCATGTTTTGCCACCCCGACACCCTTGCTCATGTTTAGACTTTCAATTCCCTTGTAAAGAGCTTCTTTACATATTTGGTTAATGCTGAAAAAAGTCCTGAGCAACCACACGTTTTTTATCATGACACTGCAGTTCTCTACATCAAATCACAAGTAATTGGATTCCAACAAAACCACATCCACAATTAACACGTATATCATAAACCAACCATACACGTGCCACCATTTGTTTTGATAAACAACTTCCTATCCATTTCTGAAACCCAATCTCTCTAAATTTTATCCAGAAACAAAACCTTAGTTATCACCGAAGCAACAATTCAACAACCAAAACAGCCCACTGCAATAACATATATTCTATTCAAATTCAATTTGACGACCATCACCAAATTGAATAACCAAAATAATACCGGAATCATCATTAAGAAAAAACAACAACAATTAAGGATGCACTAAATTTAATGCAAAAAATTGCAGACGATTAAAGAAAAAGGTAACTCTAAAAGCATGTACCATTATCTCCCGAATCGCAGTAGGAGAAACACCATCTCCATCCTTAGATCCCTTGAATTTCTTGATGGCGATGCACTTCCCCTTATTACTAGCAAGCTTACTCTTGGCCAAGAAAACCAGGCCATAAGTTCCCTCTCCTATCTTTCCAACCAAATCGTATTGCTGTAACCAAGCTGGACGATTGCTTCTGGTGCCATCGCCCATCTGCTGAAGCTTTGAGAAGCCCTAGGGCAAAACTGGATCGAGAATCAAGGCAAAGATGGGTCGAAATTTGCGGCAAAATGTAACAGTCCTCAAGTATGCTTTGAAACTAACTGGCGTGTCCGGAAAATGGATAATTTTGTTGGATGGCAGTCCAATGCTACGAGGTACAAAGATAAATTTTGTTTAATTTCTGCAAATTTCTCAAACGGGACTACAATCTTCTAATGAAATTTTGAAATGACCGTTTGGGCCCCTGAAACCCTTTTCAGGATTCGTGCATAAGATTTAAAAATGCATATATGGATCGGAGTCCACCGTTGGTTTCTGGTCGGTTCTATATCTAGGACTGTCCGACTCGAAATCTGGATAGGCTTTAGGCCAGGCCGGGTAAACGCCTCGTTGAACTGTGTCAAAATGTCTGGTCGGTTCTTTATCTAGGACTGTCCGACTCGAAATCTGGATAGGCTTTAGGCCAGGCGGGGTAAAAGGGTGGTTGAACCGTGTCAAAATATCTGACCCGAAATTTTACTGCTACGGCCCGGCCCAGTCCATCCCATTGAGAAGGCTAGTTTTTTTAATCACTTTTATTTATTGGGTTTTGGGTTTTTGGAGAGAGATATATCGGATTTGAGAAAGAGAGATTGGGTTGATAGAAAGAGAATGGGTTCTTAGAGAGAAAAAGATTGATTAAATTTATAAAGAAAGAGAAGAAAGAGAGATTGGATTTCTAAAGAAAAAAAGAGAGATTCGGTATCTAGATAGAAAAAATGGGTTTTTAGAGATAGAAAGAGAGCTTGGATTTTTAGAGAGAGAAAGCGATATTATTTTCTAGTGAGAAATTAGGTTTTTAGAGAGAGAGAATGAGTTTTAAGAGAGAGAATAAGAGATTGGGTTTTTAGAGCGATATTGAAGGCGTTTTTTGAGAGAAAATAGGTTTTTAAGGAGAAAAAAATAGGTTTTTAGAGATAGAAAGAGAGTTAAAGAAAGATAGTAGGTTTTAAATTTTTTAAAAAATATTTTAGCATGTATTTTGTTTTCTTTTTTGGCTTGCTACAAGCAAAAAAAGTTTTAAGGGTGAACATTTATAACAACAATAATAATAATAATACTAATAATAATAATAATAATAATAATTAAAAAGGCATACTAAATGGACGGGGTTGTATTTTGGCTGAGCTTCCTAGGCCGGGTCAAATCATTTTCGGACTTGCCGCACCAACCTTAATTCTACATTTTAAGGTTGCAATCGTATATAAACTTTTCCGTTATCTTAACCCAAATCCACTTTTACTCTATAGAAAATGGAAACTTGTTTCATGCGGGCTGGGCCGCATTCCTACAATATGCGGTCCAAAGGTTTAAATCATATATCTTAAAGATGGATGCAAATAGGTGGTCCATCTAAAAACAATTATAACTAACAGTCCAAATGTTTTCTTAATATAATTATTATTTATTGCTTTCAAATTTTTTTTATATTCATAATCTCCATGTTAAAGATGATATGTTCTCTAAAAATTAGAATCAAATTATATTTAAAAAATATATTTATTGTCAAGCCGCATTTCCACAATATGCGGGTTGACCGCATAGAAATCGTGTCCTTACTCTATTCTATTCCCTTCCAATGTGTGAAAATCGACGGTATAAATAAAGGAAAATAGTTTGATAGGGTTGTAGCCCTATCAAAATAAGTAAAGCCTCGCCACATAACTCATCGAAAATTGCAATTCAAACACTTAAAAATGTTTACATTGATCATCTCGACTTGAACATTATGTATGTGGAAAAAAAATAGGTCTTAAAGCTCTAAAATAGTGTATATTGTAAAAAATTATCTAGACCATCCATTCACCCTAAAAAAAATTGTTCACATATCCTCAAGATTTGTACAATTTTTTGAGTTTCAAATTTTATTGTCGGTATTAGAAATTAATTTTAGAGCCATCAGGGAGATTTCTGTTGCCGAAAGTATTTTCCGAATGAAGATTTGAGGTGAGGCTTTATTTTGTTTTCATAAAACCTAGGCCTTATAGAAATTTCATCCATAAAATAAAATTGTTGATCTAATAAGATTCAAACCGAAATAGTAGAGATTTTCTGTAACGATGTTCATCGAAGTTATGTTTTATTCAAGTTTCAGCTATATGTTACCTATTAAGGCAGTTTGTAATTTAAAATCCCCCTAAATTTTGGTCATTTCGGATGAAAAAGAGACTAATTGGACAGAAAAAATGATCTTTGATAGATTTTCAAATACATGTTACCTATTATGGCGGTTTGTACATTCCCCTAAATTTTGGTCATTTCAGATGAAAGAGAGACTGGTTGGATCGTGAAAATTTGATCTTTGATAGAATTTCATAATACTAAAAAGAACTCTATGGATATTGATTGATACAGAATATTGATTGATACAGAATATTGATTGATAAAAAATATACAAGACCCATACAAATAGACGGTTAATAACAGTTATGGATAGATACCATTATTGATACTTACAAACTAATCTTATCATAATCAAGATTTGCCTAGATGAGATATATACTTTGAACAATATTAAATTGCAAAAGGGAGTAGTGATCTTCAGGTGCATAGAGTGACCAGAAGCAGTGATCTTCAAGTCTTCAAGTGCATAGAGTGACCAAGAGAAGTAGTGATTGCCATTCTCATAGTAACTGGAGTTTGAACAATACTAGATTGCAAAAACGAGTAGTGATCTTCAAGTGCATATAGTGATCAAGAGAAGCAGTGGTTGCCATGCTCAAAGTACTTGATCAAGCGGCAAGCCTCGGGAACAGACGGCCTCAGGAGTAAACTCGAGTAATACAAAAATTTCAGATTTTCACTGGAGACAGAAAAGCAGTCGAGTCAGCCAAGAAAAACGGGAAGGCACTTGGAAGAGCCAACAGATTCAGTAGCTCGCAGATCATAACATATATGATCGAGTAACATAACAAACAAACTCGATCAACAGCAAACCAACAAGCCTTCAGAACATCCGGGATCGGGTAACAAAGAACTCGATCATCAGACGAGATCTAGTTACTCAATCATCAAAAAAGATCATTTCAGAGGGATTTTTTTTTTCCTTTTTTTTATAGTCAAGTTTCAGTTTTTTTTAGGTCGAGTTTCGGAGGGTCAATGACAATATCATATGCCTATGTGAGATTTCTGACAGATTACGGATCTGGAAATCAAGATCCAAAGGCAACACAAACAGAGGAGCGGTTTTTTAGATTTGGCTGCTTTTGTTTAGACGGGTACGACTGTTGTTGTCGATACTGTTTCCAGCACTTCTGAGCAACCTTTTTTTTTTTTACTACAAATAACCGTCTTTATGCAACTCCTTAATTACCCTCACTCACATTCTCTCTAACCCTCTCGTTCCACAGTCCCTCTCTAATTTCAAAATGTAAGGAAGAGATTGCATATTGAACGAAAGCAAGGGGAATCAAGCAAAGCACATTCAAAGTGCAGGGGAAGCAAGGGTAAGCAAAGGTTTTGCATATAGGGGAATCAAGCAAAACACATTCAAAGTGCTGGGGAAGCAACGGCAAGCAAAGGTTTTGCGTATAGATGGTGCAAGCTCTCTTGTGTTGCTTTAGGGTGGATTGATTGCTAGTGTTAGTATCAAGGGGGGATTAGATTGTTAGTGTAGCGTTGGGCCAAACAACGGTGAGAGTAGACAATGCAATTCGATGCAAAATAATGACAAGAGTAAGCAATGCAAGTTGATGCAAAACAATGACAATAGCAGGTGGATTGTATACGTTATTTTTGAGTGATGAGAGCATGCAATGCAAATAGCTACGAGATCTTTTTTTTTTTTTTGCAGAGGGTCTAAACACGACTCAACATAAGGGGTCAGATCAGATATTCCAATTGTAGAGATAGTCGAATTGCGGAGAGTCAAAACACGACTCAACAAAAGGGCTTAGCGACGAGATCTTATTTTTAATTTTTATTTTTTTTGCAGAGGGTCTAAACACAACTCGACATAAGGGGTCAGATCATATATTCAAATTGCAGAGATGTTTGAATTGCGGAGTCGAAACACGACTCGACAGAAGGGCTCAGATTTGAGGTTGAGGAGAAAACGGATCTGAAGTTGAGAGGAGAGATCTGAGCTCATATTTGAGGTTGAAGAGTCTATGGCTTTGATACCTATATAGGTGTCTGTGGATCTGATACCATGATAGAGGTTAAGAGGAGTCTATGGCTATGACACCATGATAGAATTTCAATAATGCAGAACATATCGATTTTCACTATTCAACTGTTGTTGATAATTACTAACTAATCTTATCATAATCAAGAGATGCCTAGATACTTAATCTTATCAAGAGATATATATCTATGTAGATATATATTCATACTGATATGCATTCATAATGATGTATATTAATACTAACATGATACATATCCATACCATAAGAAAGGGGCTAGTGAGTGAGAGAGGCAATAAATGGATATGAAGTGGAGTGTTGTATTTGAGTTGGAATTCCCTTTAATTGCAATAGATACCTTGACTCTCTAACCAGCAAAAAACCGAGAGATTAGTTGATCAAAACCAACTTTTAAAAAGTCTCTCTTTTAGGCGAGCAAACAATGCCCTAGCTGATAGGAGTGGTGGTGAGTAGTTGAGGCTCGGGTTAAGAATTTGGAGAAGAATAGGCATTTGGAGTTCTTTAAGTGCTGAGTGAGGATTATATGTATATTGGTAGTGTAGTGAGGATTATATGTTTATTGGTAGTATAGGGTCATCGCGGTTCAGAGTTTGGTTGGTCTTTTCTGGAACTAGGGATTCTTCCTCTACGCTATTGCACTTTGGAGCTTGCCTCCTTTTATCAATGAATACTTACTGTTAACATTCAAAATAATAATAATAAATGTCTCTCTTTCTCTCTCTCTATGCCATATCCGAATCCCCCAAACAAACCCCAAGTCTCTAGCTCTTTTTTCTTTTTTTCTTTTTTTAATTTTAAATATTCTAAGTCTCTCTCAAAAACAACAATTTTGTGACCGGGAAACAAACCCATTTCACAATGGCCACCGAAAGAACCATTCTCTCCCCCTCTATTCCTTAAAAGGGTGCAATTGGCATACGGAAGCATCCGTACGTGTAGAGGTAAGGTGCACTTTCAAATTTTATCAGGGCATATAATTTGCTGTAAAATGTTCTTAAGATTATCTCAAAATCTATTTTTATATCTAATTATAAAATTTTACATATAAAAAATGGTTAAAATCAAGCAGATCTATAAACATATGAAAATCTTGAAAATGGACAGTGTAGATAATATGTTGGAAAATACAAGACTTAAAATCTTCGTATTGTTCATGGTCATGCATCTCGATGTCGAGATGATCAATCAAAGGGTTTTTCAACATCAAAACTACCTTTTCCGATGGATTTTTGAGGTGCATCCGTAGTTTTACATTATAAGGTTGCATCCTTATATAAACTTTTTCCTTCTTAAAATTGAGGGCAGGGAGTCTTTCAAGTTTCCCTTCTCTCTCTATTGCTCCCCCATCTTGCTTCCAGATGTCTCCAAAACTCTCTCTCTCTCTAACAATCTTTTTACCCTAACTTTAATGTAATGTAACAATATTTTTAACTCCACTATAGAAAACCCAAAACAAAACCATAGGTCGCTAAGAATCCTCAACAGAACCCTTAAGCCATAGCTACTGCATTAAAGAAGATAACCCTAAAAATCTACTGCTTTGCCCAAAACAAAATCCTTAAACCATGGCTACTGCATTGAGGAAGATAATCCTAAAGATCTCTTTGCCCAATGTAAATGCTATCAAAACCATAGAAAATGCTCCTTTTGTACCAATAAGCAAAAACATACTTTCAACCCACTGAAATGGAGTACCAGAAGCACGCTAGAGTTTATACAGAACCACATGCTGTTTTACCATAATATAATTTTTCCAGTATACTGGAGTACGTGCTCCTTTTGTACCATCTTCGCCTCTCTCTAAAGCTCTTGAGCTTGGTTCGTGTATCCGAACCTCTTACCGAGCAAAGAATCTGTAGTTCACAAACCAAGTCATGCTTTATATATAGAAGATGAAAAATAGTTTTTCTCCAAGTCGCTAAGAAATTATTATTGTGCTTTCTTAAAAGTATTGTGTCCCTAGATCTTTTTCTCAATTTTGACGTTCTTCAATGTATAATCTTATCAAAATTCAGAAGTATTAGAAAAAATAAATGCATAGAGGATTCTGCCCCTTAGTAGTCATGAGGTGTGAGGGCCACAACACTAGCATGCAATGTACAGATCCTGCACGTCTCTACCCGAACTAAAAATAAATAAATGTGCTATGAACCAGACAATGTTAAAAAATTAGGAGATAATTGAAACAAGAATATGAAAGAACGTAAGGATGAAGAACAAATCAAGCATATATTAAAAAGGATGTTCCTGAAAGACAATGAAAAGGACAGAAGGATGAATATGAGGTGCATAATAGATTCTTTAATATTCATCAAATGCAGGCTTTGGGTATGTGTATGGACAACCAAAATCAGAAAGACCAGAAACCGACACTTCCACTCACATTAGTACAAAAGATGAACTACACCATGCAACCAAAATCCTTGGATTAGCCTCTCAAAAACAATTCATAGCAATCATAAAAAATATAGTACAAAATAAAACGCCTGAACTGCCCATTTGGGGAAAACTAGAAAAAATCCTAACTTATCAGTGTTTTTTGCTCTTTTGCAGGGCAAAATCTTCACAAACTTCCGAACTGATCTCAATATTTTTTACTCTTTTGCCGGATGAAAGCTTCACTTATCTTTCCCCAGGACCTGATTGCTATGAGGGTGGGTATAACAACCCAAGAGCAATTTGCGCCCACATAGTATAACCAGAAATAATAAGGACTCGCTGAGAAATTATCGCCTTCCAAGTACGCCGTGATGAAATAGACCAGGTCCCCGTACAACTGCCCCAGAGAGACTGCAAGTTGAAGAGTATAACTGTATGGCTTTTTTGATGCTATAGCATATCTGCTTCAATGAGACATTAAAGTCACAGGTTATACAAGACAATTTGTTCAGCGTGTGAATTATTAATAAACAAAAACAATGAGTGATGAGAAAGCAATAAAATTTGCAAAAACTAGAGAACTCAGCTTATCAAAACCAAACACCATTACTGGAATTGCTGGCTGTTAATCTTATCAGCAATGATTCATAATCCTGTCTTTTTTTTAAAATTAATGATTCATAATCCTGTCACTCCAACGAACCAGCGACAATATATATGTGTATAATCTGCACTAGTTAACCACATAATTAGATCTAATAGTTATTACATGAATGACCAAAGGAGCCAACAAAATCCATATACAAGGTTGGCCATAAACCGCCTTGGTGTTGCATTGTTATCAATCTAATCGATTTTTCTCATTGAGAAATGAAATAAGAGAGTTACTTGGTTGGCCAACAAAAAATATTTCCCATTCTGGTATTCATTTTGACTCTGCACCACCCACACAGTGCTAGTCACATTCGAATCTGCGATTCTGGTTGCATTAAAACCAGTTCATGCCCTTGACTTGTTTCCTGAGGTCATTGGTTAGTTTGCTAGGGTATTTGGGGATGCTTTAAGATGGAATGTCAAAGAAGAGCTAATACGTGTATATAATGACTACATATTGTTTATAGATTTTCACTTAAATATGGGATAGAGATGAAACAAAGGGGATGCTTGCAAAACAAATTATCCATGAAAGATAATTTGGTAACTTGGGCAAGTTTGGCATCAATGTTTAGCTTGAGGGATATTTTATTCATCATGAATAATATCCATGTTTCGGATTCAGGGAGAGATCCATAATTCCAAATAGTATATAAACTTGTCATGACTTGGTCGCATTTTCTAGAAGGGGATTGTGCATAGCTTGCAAACCTAGAGGTGGTTTGTTTGCTCGCCTAAGATGTTGTACTTGTAGAGATAATTAAAGCCATATGGAACACACACTCTACCTTTTTCAGGACATTAAGTAATAAGTGAATTAGAAGGAGCAATCTATTCCCTTATTGTGTAAAGCATAAATCTTTAAGTGGCAAATGTATCAGTTAGAACCAGTGTTTGAAAACTCGCCGAGTCGAGCCGGACTCGCCCTGTTCGACTCGGAAATCGTCTACTGCCGAGCCGGTTCCACGAAAAAACCGGGAATCGCCCGTGTCCAGAGAGAACCGGGCGATTCCCAATAGTGATTCGCGAGTCCCACCGAAAAAACCTGTATTTTTTGGGTTTACATGCGGTCACCTCAAGGGAGTGACACGTGGCACACGTGGCCGCATAATGGGAGCAACATGTGGCCACACGTGGTAACTCACCTCACGTCTGCCCCCTCACTTTCCTTCACGCGCAATGCGCAATGGAGTGTCTATTACACATGACTTTATAGAGAACCAAGCAACACTCATCCTTCGATGTGGGATAATTCCTACAAAAAATCATTAAAGCAAAATGATGGAATATATATTATTACAGGAGCTAATAGAAACACTTGAGGCAACGTGGCTGTGTTGGTTGACAGTACCGATTTTTCGGTGGATGTCTTGAGTTTGAACCTCTTAGGGCACAACAAAAAATTTTTTGAGTTCAAACCACTTAGAGCTCAACAAAAAAAAAAAAAAAAAATTTTTGTCAAAAAAATAAACAAAGGCAGAAAATACTGTTATACAAAAATAAAAAAAATATAAAATAAAAGGCTTTTCAAGATAAAGCTATAATACAATATTTTTTTATTTTTCTTGTAAAAAAAATACAATTTGTTGTCAAAAACATAAACAAAGGCAGAAAATACTGTTTGAAAAAATCAAAAAAATAAAAAATAAAAGGCTTTTCAAGATAAAGATAAAAAAGATAATACAACATTTTTTTATTTTTCTTGTAAAAAAAATACAAGTTAATATAACAAGTATTTCTTGTAAAAAAAATAAAACAAAAAGCATAAAAAAATAAAAATGTACTTTGGCAGCATCATTTTTTTTATTTTTCTTCTAAAAAAAAATAAAAAGTAAGACAACAAGCCAAAAAAAAGGTAGTACAACATCTTCTTCTTTTGTCAAAAAAAAAAACAAAGATAATCAACAAGTATCATATTTTCTTTTAAAAAAAA